TTTTGAGCCCCCTCTGGCCCCGTCCCCCCCCCCGATCCTTTTCTGCCGTTTTCCTTAGCGGTCGTTCCCCGTTTTTACTTGTGCGAGTGATTATTCCTGCCTAGGCCGATGCTTTGCATTTGTCCTTCCTGAACTGCATCCTGTTTCAGACCGTTTCTCCAGCTTGGCCAGAATGATTTTAAATTCTAATCCTGCCCTCAATAGCGCTTGCAACCCCTCCCAGCTTGGTACCCCAGGTAAATTTTATAAGTGTACTGTCTATCCCATCATTCAAATAATTTAAGAATATATTAGAGAAAGGGATCCAGGACAGATCCCTGGAGGACTCTACTTTGTAGCTATGTCTACACTGGCATGATCTTCCGGAAGTTTTCCATTGAAAGCATTTTCGGAAAAGCACTTTTTGCAGAAAAGCATCCGTGGCCAATCTAGCTGCGCTTTTCCGCAAAAAAGCCCCAATCGCCATTTTTGCAATCGGGGCTTTTTTGCGGAGAACAGTACTGTGCTGTTTACACTGGCCCTGTTGCGCAAATGATTTGCGCAAGACGGCTTTTGCCCAAATGGGAGCAGCACAGTATTTCCGCAAGAACACTGACGATCTTACATGAGACCGTCAGTGTTCTTGCAGAAATTCAAATGGCCAGTGTGGACAGCTGGCAAGTTTTCCCGCAAAAGCAGATGATTTTGCGGAAAAACTTGCCAGTCTAGACACAGCCTGTATATCTCTCTTTCTCCCCCAGCTCGACTGTGAACCATTGATAACTGCTCACTGAGTGTAATTTTCCAATCAGTTGTGCACCTATTTTATAGGCTATGAGAACATCAGACGATCCAAAAAGGCCTTACTAAAGTTGATATGATATATAACATCTATGGCTTTCTCTTGTCCGCAAGTCTTGTTACCTTCTCACAGAGGATAATAGATTGGTTTGACATGATTATTAACAAATCCAGGTAGACTCTTACTTATCACCTCTCTGAAAGCATCTGCTCATTGTGCATCAGCAGTCATAAAAACAAGAGTTTACCATTAGGAAAGTGTTAGAAAATAACAGAGAAAATATCATCATGTCCCATATCTTGAAAGTGTGCAGTTCTGGTCTTCCCGTCTCAAAAAAGATATTAGAATTGGAAAAAGTTCAGAGGACAATAAAAATGACTTGGGCCGAAGTATAGAATGCATGGAGCTGCCAAGCCAGAGGCACACTCCTCTAGCCCCAGCAACAGAGAGCTGTCGTGGTGGGGGATGTGTATGTGCCACTGGCCCCAGCAGCAGGGCCGGATTAAGAAAGAGGCTTACAGCCCAGGGTTCTGGGATAATGGGGGCCCCTTAGCTCAGAACCCTGGGCTGCAGCCTGTAAAGCCACTATGTTCTGGGCCAGTTCTTTGGGGGTGGGGGCAGGGAGAGGTGGCACCATGTACTGCCATTCCTTCCCTCCCAGCTGGAGCTGTGTCACTTTGAGCATTTGGAAGTTCTGTCCCAGCAGCTCCTGTTGGCCAGGAATTGCCAAACTGGAGCTGCTTCCTGGGTAAGTGGCCCGCACCCTAATTCCCTGCCCTAGCCCTGAGTTCTCTCTACCACCCTGACTCCCTTTTAGATCCAACACCCCAAGCTTGAGCCCTTTCCTGTACCCTAACTCCTCCCTAAACCCTTCACCCCACTCCCATACTCCAAACTTCTCTGACCCACTTCCACCCCAGATCATCCACATGCACAATGAATGTTATGTGCACCAATATGGAGGTGATGTGTTACACATCATCTCCATATTGATGCACATAAAGTCCATTCCTCACATAAATGTAAAAAATTAGAGGGAACACCGATAATGGGGGCTTCTAAATGAACTTCTGAACAAACAGGGAACATAAAAATCAGGAACAGTCTTGTGGTTAGAGCTCTCATAGCTGTAATTCCAGTTTTCATTGGAAAACCAGTTCCCAGGCATGCAATGCCCAGGGTATTGTGAGGGATTGGGAACGTGATGAATGTCATGGGGGAGTTTGGGAATGGCATAAAACCCAATTTCTGTAGTAGCTGAAGGGGGAGTTGGGCATGGATTTGTGCTGATTGCAGGCTAATGAGGCACTTCAATATCTCCCTTTGGTCCTCCAGAAGTTTTATCATCTGCTCCTACCCCCATATCCTTTCTTGCCTTTCCTGCCTCAGTCTCATTAATTGTCGCCCTCCATGCTCTTGTTTTGCTATGCGCTGAATCTATTGACTTCAGCACTACTCAAAACATATCCTTATTCCTCCTGGGTCTGATGCAGGTGCTCTTTTAGTGTGAAAAGTGTGTTCTCAAAGGGAAATGTGCAGAAGGCAAAAAAAAAAAAAAAAAAGAACAGAGACAATATTGTGAGTGCACAATATGTGAATCACAAAGTTACACCTCTTTCTCGCTATCCTTATAGCACACAGATGGCCATGAGTCCCAATTATGGTGAGTTTGTGGGTGGGAAAGGGCAAGAAGTTGCAAAGCATGATTTTCAAAGGGGTTATTAGAGAGTAGGGAGCTTATTTTGAATATTGGGACCCTAGGCTAGGGAAATCAAACTTGATATCTCACTCCTCAGAGTAATCTTGGATGCAAAGAGCCATCTCCTGCGTGTGGTTTCAGACTGACTCCATATGCTGCTTGTCTGTGTGCCACTCTGGTCCCTGTAGCAATAATTGCCTGTTGGCACGACAAAGCTTCCTGCACTGGGGAGAGTAACAAGGCAACAGATTGCAGAGTACCTACAGGAACTCTACTGTGGTCCCTCATATATGGACAGGCTCTTTTAATTTCTGTCCCTTATCCCTCCTCTCCTCTACCATATAGCAAAGTACATGAGAGCTCAGTCTCCTCTCAACATGCAGTATTAAAGCAAAACGAGCACTTAAAAGCGCTCCCCTTTCCTGCATCCTTCATGCCAAAGCTAGAGTGCTGGGATTAGCTAGATTCTTCTGGATTGTAAGAGATGTTCTTCCTGTGGCACATTTTTTTTCATCAAATTAAAAATCAGTGGCTTCAAATTAATGCATAAATTCGCTGTTACTGCTTTAAAGTACTTTTGTTTAAAAAATTGTCTTTCACTTACCCACAGATTGTATTCTAGGAACCTTTGTTATAGAAACAATATATGCAAATTTTAGTCATATTTTTTTTTTGCTAGAGGAGTACGGAAAAGAGTGCCTCCCTGGCAAACCTATCCAAACCATGAATTTTTAAACAGCTTAATAAAAAATTTTCATAGCTTCAAGCTGTATAACGAATGCCTCAAAAAGTCCAGACTTAGCCCAAAATTATAATCCATTTTCTATAAAACTTACTCAGAGATACCAGATTTTCACCATTCGTTCCACTGTCACAATTCTTTAACACAATGTTAAGTGAGTTACCACTGTCCACTAATAATTGGACCTCCATGGATATAGGCTCTTCAGATCTAAATTAGTGTGACTTTATACCTCTCAGTTTGGCTAGTATTATGGTATGAAGGATTGTCTTCTGATTAGGTATTCATGCCACAATATGAGTCTTATGGATATCTGTCTCTCTATATAAAAAGTTTTTCCTGCCATGCAACAGAATGACATCATGAGTCTCTCTGGTTATGAAAGTGGCCAGAGAGAGTGGGTTTGGCAAGTGTAGTAAGCAGGAGGCAGCTCCCTAGTATCTGTAATTAAATAAAGCCCTGGACCTGAGTCAGATTCACCTCCATGGTATCACCCAACCCAAGTTTACCCTTCTGTTAATGAGAGGTAATATTTGCCTATGTCTCTGGGTTTGACAAGACTATAATAATTAATATGATAACTTTTGGGTTTTTAGAACTGTTACCTTATTTAAAGTAAAATTCCACTTACAGCTGTGTTCATTCATCATTGTCTCTCTTTCTTTACAAGCTGGCTACAGAATTTCCATCAGAAGATATTCTCTTAGTAACTGCTTCTCCAGTTATAAAATCAGTAACAAATTTCAAACAGGTAAGAGAAAGGTTTAATGTTTGTTGTGTGTATAATTTAGGGCCCGACCCTGCAAATGCTTATAATTTCAGTCTCTTGCTCCTTCTCTGCCTCTGATCTATTCTAGCTTTCTTCTTTCAAACTCCCAACCTCAGTCTCAATTCACTCGTTCGGGCTCCTTGTCAGAATTTCTATACCTAGCCAGTTCCATTTTCTCTCCTGTATTCTCTTCCAGTTCCAGTCTCAGCAGATTACTTTCCCAGTCTACTACTTTCCCACTCCATGGTCTGGTTTTTTCCTCCTCTGCATTTGAAAGAGACGGCTTCATCCTCAATGCTGGCCGGGTGCCAACAAAAGAGACTATGCACCCCAGTGCAGAATAGTTATTACAGCGAAAGTCTGAGCACCCATCGACCTGGGCTGGAGCATACCAAGTTGCTTTGCAGGGATGGTGCATGCAGAATCTGGTCACACATAGGAGCTGTGAGAGAATGGATCATGATCGGTTGCTGTGTGGAAATGACATGTGCGTTTAACCAGATTGCACTAGGAACTATGAAATGCTGAAGCATGCATAGTGAGAATGGAATTTTTGGAGATTTTAGCTGTGAATCTCTGAGCTGAGATTTTTCATTCACTTTAATCACTTGGCCAAATGTTGGAGGTGCATTTTCACAGGAATAGCAAAATTCATATCGCTAATACAAAGGCCAGCCTCCTGCCAAATTTCAAGTCCCTGTTCAAAGCATAGGTGTCATGGATTTGTTCAAAGAAAAGATCAGAATTTTATATTTGGGCAAAACAGTGTATTTTTTCTAGCCTTATTCTCAGAAACAACTGAAATGTGGTGGCTAATTTAAAAAAAAAAGGTTGGGGCAGACACCCAACATGGAACATTGCAACCCAAGTGAATTTAGTTTTGTAAAGTTATAAGCAACTGAAAATAGTCTTAAAATCAAAAGCATAGCGCTATCTTAATAATAGATGGTTCTATGAGACCCACCTACAGTAATAGAAATTAGATATGGAAAAGACCTATATGATTGCCTAGTTGATACTCGAAGGTCAAGTACAGTATTTTATACTATTGTACATAGGGATGTGAGTAGTCAACTACTCACTTCCCCCTTGCTTGCCTGTATACCAGAGGCAACAAGGGGCGGGGAGAAACAGGAGCTGGTGCTGGGGAGGAGTGGTCTTAAAAGCCAGTTTCCCCTAGCACTGTCTCTGAGGTGCCCCCTGCCCCCCCCCATACTGCTGCCTCTATTAGAGGCAGCAAAGGTGGAGGGGGCCAGGAGGTAGGGGAGGCTGCTGCAAAGCGGAGGGCGGGGGCAGCGGTTCCAGCTGTGTCCAGACTGGCACCAGTCTGGGACCTGCCTCTGCTGCAGCTGTGCAGTTTATATGTAGTAGAAGCAAATTGTATCAACTACGCCATTAGTCAGTTACCCACCTCTTAACATCCTTAATTTTATAGTTTCAAGTAGGGACGTCAATGTGTAGACGACGATACGATTAATCAATAAGCCTCATGCACTCCCTTCTCCCCCTTTCTGCCTCTGTATCAGAAGGGGGAAGGCAGGAGTCGGTGCCTGTGTGGAGCCAGCTTTTATGCTGGCTCCCCACTCCTGCGGTGGTACTTCTGATAAAGGAAGCAGCATGGAGAATGAGGGAGACAGGTAGGAGCCGATACGTGTGAGGAGGTGGTTTTCAAGCCGGCTCTCCATGCTGGCTCCGCAGACCTGCTTGCCCCCCACCTTGCTGCCTCCTACAGAGGCAGGGGAGGCAGGCAAGAGCCCATGCTGGGGGGAGCTGGGTTAAAAGCTGGCTCTCCCTGAGCACTGGCTCCACAGAGCCTCCTTCCCCCTCCACCTCCAAAACAGCATCTGTCCGCTGTGGGCCCAGGCTGCTCCGTGCAAGAGCAGCTTCTGTCCACGGGGAGCTCGGACCACCCACAGGCAGGGACTGCTGCTGTGGAGCTGCCTCTGTCTGCAGGGAGCTTGAGTGCCACGCAGACGGAGCGGCCGCTGACCTCAGATAGAGAGGCAGCAGTGCAGAGTGGAAGGGGGCTACCCATGAGTGGGGCAGGGAGTGCACTGGTTGCCAGGCCTCGCCTCCTTGGACTATTGAATGAATAGTCCTGTTATCGCTAACATTATATGCAGTTACACAACTGTTCAGTTACTTGCTATCTAACAGCCCTATTTTCAGGTGCTTAATCTAGTCTAATTTTAAATTTCTTAAGATAGGGATTTAGAAGTCCAAGTTCCATTTTGACGGTAATGCACAGCTGAGAGCCTTTCTCTGAAAAGTTTATTAACAGACATGTATCTAAATGCTTAATTTTAGCAGCAGCTTTCTAAATTGGTTGATGAATTTTCTGTGGGTTGGTGCTTTAAATTTACTGATTGGGAGTGAACATAATTTATTTTCCAATCCGTAGCTTTGGTTAAAAGCTTAATGAAAAAGAAAAAATAATTAAAAGATAAATGATCTGTCTGTCTCACACACACACATTTTGTTTTGTTTTTTATTTTGTTTTTAAACAATAGGTCTCCAAAACACTAGAGGAATTTGATGTTGAAGAACAACCAAGCAGTATGTTAGAAAAACGGTATCCCAACATCAAAGTTATACACTCTGCAGTGAAACAGCTGAAAAGTCAGGAGCATGTAAGAGAACTTTGACTTACCTGATTTTCTGTGGCTAGTGAAAGTGAATGTGTTTAAAAAGAGATCCAATTTTCAAATGACATATGTTAATACAGATTTTCTAATTATTTAAATTAATTTACCAAGATTTAGAGCAGGAGAAAAATGACACAGTTCACTTATAGTGCACTTTTAGCAGATATGTAGGTGATGGGGTAAAAAGCAAACATAAGTCATTAGAAAAATTCAGTGACTAGGAAGGTTAGATCAAGACTCCTGACGCTTCCAATATATTGCATGGATGTTTAGAGCAGAATAGCAAAGAGGTTGATCATGAAACCACAAATAGTAGAAATGACATGCCTGAAATTTTCTTAAATCATTAATTGGAGCTCTCTGTAAACTCTGACTTAGATTATTGACAAAGAGAAACCAAAAACAGTATTAAGCTTATACAGTTATAATAAATACCTTTATTTCTGAGGAAAACAAAATCAATAAATTCCTAAATTATGTTCTCCAGCAAAAATAAAGTACAGGCAGTCCCCGAGTTACGCGGATCCGACTTATGTCGGATCCGCAGTTATGAACGGGGTTTGCTCTGCGTCTCCCTGGTCCAGAGAGACGGGGAGCAAAGCCTCGGAGGACGCCGGCAGTGGGACAGCAGACCAGGGAGACGGGGAGCAAAGCCGCAGAGCACGCGGGCAGCGGGACAGCCCAGACGCACCGCGGCTGTCCTGCTGCCGGCGTGCTCCGCGGCTTTGCTCCGCTTTGCTCCCCGTCTCCCTGGTCTGCTGGAGGAATAAATATGGCACAACTCTGGAATGGTCTTTGGACCAACCACATATTGACCATATATGGCAGTGATGATACGATTAAGTAGAAGTCAGTGGTCTTTGATGGAGTTCAAAAGTTGTTATAAAGAAATGTACAGTAATAGTCATTTAAAGAAAGTTTTTGCCAGCAATAATCTTGAAATGCTATCTGAGATGTTGCAGTTAACTCTTGTTGTAAATATATGGCAATAATCAATTCCTTATTGCTTTGTTATTGATGGCAAATAATTTAAAAATCAATTGCATGTAAAACTAATTGTTTTCAGTCAACTTACCAGTGGACAAGTGTACATATTCCAACTGTTTTTGACTCCTTTTAGCATGCTCAACTTGCCTTGATTTTTCATGTTTGAAGTACACTGATAGAGCCAGGTGGAGGAAGCTTTGCCTGCCACTGCCCACATTGTATCTATTCTCTGAGTAGAGGGTTTTGCTGTCTGCATAGTGTAAACATGATTCCCTTTCATTATATTTAATCCACATTAATAGAATGAAACAAAAGAACTGAGAGAGATGCCTGATCATAGCAAACAGAATGGAGAAGGTATCATTTTAAAAACTAGGCTGGTCAGTTTCAGCAGCAGCTGAATCTGGATGCCAGTTCCGACTTACATACAGATTCAACTTAAGAACAAACCTACAGTCCCTATCTTGTACGTAAACCGGTGACTGCCTGTATACATAGTCTCTCTGATCCTTGTTCAGTATCTTGCCTATAGAGTAAAGTTGAAAGGCTTTGTTTTTCACTTCAGTATTATTTGTTTACCCACTTTCAGAGCCAACTCTGTTTTTGCTTTTATTATATGTAACCAGTAATTAATTCGCTGTACTTAGGTTACGGTAGTATATTCATATTCTATATCGGTTACGCTGATGTGTGTTCTGAGGTAGAATACATTATTAAGACTGTTCTTTGTGTGCGTTATTAGTATGTTGTATTTTTGTTTTAGGGATGTCCCCTGGGTTGGCTATTATGACATTTTGGGGATCACCCAGACCAGTAACCTTGGATGGCCTTAGTGCTCTGCTGCTAAGGCTCAGAATCCTGACACAAGTAGCCAGACCACAGGCATAAAAGTCTCATCCTTACTTCCACCATACTAGTTACTTCTTTTAGGTTGACCCCAGTAGACCTTCTGGTCCTGGGTCTCCCCAAATGCATCATTTGACTTTGCACAGTCTCAAAGACAGAGGAAATATGTCTGAGTGTCACATAGTTAAGAACTTGGAGTAGGTAGATTTGGGGAAACTGAGGATAGAGTCATCCTGCAAGGAGTAATGAGGCAGACAGAAGCCAGAGTGAGATCTTTATGCTTCTGGGCTGGCTGAGCCCAAGCAGTTTAGCATTTAGGCACTCAAGTTTATAAAGTGACTAATCCTTTTACTGATCTGGGTAATCCCCAAAAGTCACAGCAATATTGCATGTGTTCATCATCTTTCATGTCAAAGGATCCCAAAGTCCTTCTATGCTCTTTACAAGATAAACAGAACCATTGTAATATAACTTTCTGGTAGGTGGAGAACAGCAAATAAACTTGCAAAACGTTGAATTTTAAATATTCTGTGCTGCAGATTGATGTGGCTTCCTGACAGTGCTGCTTTTTTAGGATTTGATTCAATACATATTGAAGTCAGTGATAGCCTTTCTATTGACTTTAATGAGTTTTGGATCAGACAGTTGATTGATCAGATATGGCAATCTGTAAAGTTGCATCTATTGCACTTATTTTCTTTAGAAGACCTGAGGGGGAAACATTATTTTGGACACAGATCCCCAAAAGCAACTATTTATACCACAGACTGCCCCAACATAATTTTGTGTACATACATGCAAATTAATCATAGCCTTCCATTCTACAAGTACAGAAGTAACCTCTGATATAAAATAGCACTAGGACGAGTAAAACAAGGTAGGTTTTACCAAGATATACAAGTTAGTAAAAACAGTCTGATGCACAAAACAGACTCTTCCCTCAACACCATAACAAAATACAGAGTGCCACCAAGAGGCAAGCTTTATATTTTGTCTTGTAATCTTATTAAGTTTACTATATGCAATTTCTGTTTTAGGAACTCCGCACTCTAGTAAGTGTAGTATAAACTGCTAGATAATCAGTAAGAGAGGACTTGACTTTTTTGTTTTAACTTTTCCCATAACCAGTAAAAGCTTTCGATAGAAGCAAAATACTGTGATTTCTAGGTGTTGACTTGTAGATGGTTTTCCTTTTTAATCTTTTAACAGAAAATATTCACTGAAGATGGCAAACACTATATATATGAAAAACTTTGCCTATGCGTAGGAGCAAAACCTAAGATCATTTTTGAAGGAAACCCATATGTATTAGGAATCCGGGATACTGACAGTGCTCAGGTAACGTATTTTCATGGTTCATAAACTTGTTCACATTTTGCATCCTAACTTCGCATATGTGGTTAGTCACAATGTATTGTAAAAATAATTGTGGAATGAAATGGATAAGAACATAAGAACGGCCGTACTGGGTCAGACCAAAGGTCCATCTAGCTCAGTAGCCTGTCTGCTGACAGTGGTCAGCACCAGGTGCCCCAGAGAGGGTGAACCGAAGACAATGATCAAGCGATTTGTCTCCTGCCATCCTTCTCCAGCCTCTGACAAACAGAGGCCAGGGACACCCATTTCTATCCCCTGGCTAATAGCCTTTTATGGACCTAACCTCCATGAAATTATCTAGCTTCTCTTTAAACAAGATGTTTATTCTAACAGCAGAAATAAAGAATAAAAACCATTATTATACATTTTAGAAATGGTTAAATAACTCTGATGTGCCATTTTAAAAAGTAAAGATCTTCATTTTCAAAAACAACTCATGAATGCATAGAGTTTTCTCATCTGAGAAACGTCTGAATAAGCAAAATAGTAGTTTATTTTGTGCTGGTGACAGGTGTCAGATTGAAAACCTACAGCATAAGCAGCAAACTTCCCCTTCTTTTCTTGCTTACTACATTATAGAAATGTCTGTACCATACATTTTTATCTCAAGTTCAGTACTTGCCAATTAACATGAAGTGTTCAACAAATTTGTAAATGTTTGTGTGGACACCTCACACATTTGATTCGGGCTGTTAATTTGTTTTTATAAAGAAATTGGCTATCTATTAACTTGAGCTAAAGAAAGAAGTCTAAGTAACCTCTAGGGACAAGAGGATTGTTGTTTTCACTGCCTCTCAATTTTTTATTTCTCTGTTGTGACCAACAGCAAGGGTGATGAGGTGTATTGTATATTGATCATCACAGTATGGGATGGAGGCCACTAGCTCGTTCTTTCCATAAATTCTCAAAGCATCACCAGATTGTCATGACTCTTGATTACTGCTGATCTATTTTGTATTATATCATAATTACTTGGGATGCTATATTGCAGTGGTAGACGCACAGCTCATTGGGGTAAGTTGCTTGTGGGCCTCTAGATGGGTTTACCTTGCATCCACAGATATGGCTGCCCACAGCTACCATTGGCTGTAGTTCACTATTTCTCTGGTCCAGGACTGCCCCAGCCCTGAGCCTCCCACCCCACAGGGGCCCATTAGGGAGGTGTGGGACTGGAGCTCCACCTCCCCCCAAATTCGTATGTGGACATTGTTAGCTGTTCCCCCTTTGCCCGGGAGCGAGGGGAAGTGCACAGTTTGCTGCATTCCTCACTCTGGCTGGAAGTGCAGGGGGCAAATGGCCTGTATACTTTGCTCTCTCTTCCTGATAGGGTCAGGAATGGGAAAAACAAGCAGCCCTGGCATGAATCTCGGGGCAGGGCTCCCCTCATTCTCCCCCCAGCCTCCTCCCCATAGTTGCATTCTCTCCCCTACCCAGAGCCTTATCACTCCCCAACCCTGATTTCTGCACCCCTCATACTCCTTGCCCTGAGCCCCTCCTTAAGGACCTGAGCAACGTTGGGTAAATGTGCAAGAAGGTTATGTAATTCAGGGACTTATTTTTCTTTTTCAAAAATCTCTTCTAGCAAAAAAAGAACAGTCTGTTAAGTCAGTGTTATAAATACAAAATAGTCTCCTTATCAGGGTCTATTTTGACTTTTTACAAAATACTGAGTGAAATAAAATTGCACTCAGAACATGATTTCAATATTGGCTTTTAAATACAGTATATTATTTCAGACGAAATGTGCTTTAGTTGCTTAGGAGAAGAGAAAGATTCCTGGATTTTATCACAAGCTCTGCAATATAGTTTTATCTCAAGTTCTTATCTTTCCCCTCCTCAGTTGATTTATCTGTAAGAGCAATAGTAAACTGTGGCATCCTAACAGAGCTATAAAGTCTTAGTTAACTTCAATAAAATGCCTTAACATAATTAGATATGTATCATTCATCATAATTATTAAAATTACACGTTTGAGAATTTGAGAGGTACAGTATTAAATTATATAAATTGATCAAGTCTGAGTGACCAAAATACTGTAAATTGTCTTTTTTTTTAATATAGGCATTTCAGAGTCATTTGGCTAAAGCTAAAAGAATAGCAGTTGTGGGAAATGGTGGCATTGCACTCGAATTAGTGTAAGTAAATTATTTTCTTAAGCTACTAAAAAGTGTGTGCAAATAATGACTAGAACAACTGGGCTGCAAATTAAGTGTGTGCTGGTTTTTTGGCAGAGGGGTTAAAAACCTTCATAATAAAGTTGTAACTATTATTTGTTGATGTTTAGTAAGGGCATTGATAAAAATAAATACTTTCACATAACATGTAATTAGACTGTGGGACTCTTTATCACAGAAGATTATAGAGGCTAAGAATTTAGCAAGATTCTAAAACGGACTTTTATATGGATAATAACGTCCAGAGTTAAAATAGTGTAAAAATAATTGCAAGGGATATTAAAGCTATTTTCTTAACTGTTAGAGAGTAGAATGAGGCCCTATGTGGGAGTAGGGAGAACAAATGCAGAATGTTTTCTACTATATATGTAGCTTTGTCTCATGAAAAGCGGGACAACGTGTAATCACCATAACCAGTACTAAAAGGCATATAAATAGCATGCATACAATTTCTACTTTCAGTTTTTTCTTCTGGTATGCATTACATTTGTCTCTATGTTTAGGAAGGAAAGCTCCTATCCTCCTTTTAATCTAGACCACTCGCAAACAAAAATTTCCTCTGGGGCAATCCATAATTTTATCCATTGTTGAAATGTGCTTTCTAGGTATGAAATTGAAGGATGTGAAGTGATATGGGCTATCAAAGACAAAGCCATTGGGAATACTTTCTTTGATGCGGGAGCAGCTGAATTCCTTATTCCAAAGCTAACGGCTGAGAAACTAGAGACAACAATTGTTTGTAAAAGAACCAAATATACAACAGAAGGTACCATGAAAACACTTAAATACACTTTGTGCTTTAGTATATTAGTAAATCAGTTGGCAGTTGAATTTACACCAACATCCAAAATCATCTGTAAACCTGAGCTCAGCCAAATAAACAATATTCAGAAAAACTTCACTGTTCAAATAGCATTTCCTCTTTAAAAATATAAACAGACAACAAAGATTTTAATTATCATACTGCAAAACTAAACTATTAATTTTCATTTATGAGAGTATCTGTAGTATAGAGCTGTGAAGATTATTTAATTTATATACTAGTATATGTGCATTTACGGGTTGAATCTCTGTCTGTCATCCATGAGACCTGACTGGTGCTGAACCAGAGAATTTGCTGAACCAAATATTTTCTAGTGGTATTACCAACACTTCCACTGCTTACTGGGCTCTTCGAAAATGTTTAGGGGTAAATTAGAGCTAAATAACTGCACAGAACACTGAGAGCCAGGATGATGGCTGTAAGCAAACTTTACGGGACTGGGGGAAACTTGGTCACACCCATGATAAGTGGACATCTAGCCAACTAAAATCATACCGGACCACGTTCCCAAACCAGAGAGTGCTGGACTAGAGAGATTCAATTTGTATCTCTATCTGTATTTGATGGTGTGTATTATATAGTTGCCCAAGAGTTGCAGGAGGTAATAGTAGTACAGTAAACTCCAATAGTCCGGCATCCAATAGTCCGGCACTCCTGATAGTCCGGCATCAAAATGGCAAGAGCCTAGTGAGTGAGCTTCAGCAAAAAATGAGTCTCAAGGTAGCAGCAGCAGCAGCTGAACTGAGCAAAAAGGGTAAAAAAGGCTTACAAAAACTAAAACATTACAGTATACTGTATACAGTATGTACAATAAAAAGGGCTAATACACTTTATATACATTATATAACGTATACAGTATATATATATAACCAGCTTATAGTACCTCCTGATAGTCCGGCATATCTGATAATCCGGCACCACCTAGGTCCCATAGGTTCCGGATTATTGGAAGTCTACTGTAGTTGGAAGCACTTCACCCTCTTAATACTATATTAATGCCCCTGCAGATGTTAGGAGATGCTATTTTCAGTACAGTTTCTTTTGGATAAGACACAAAAGTAGTTTTCTAACTTCTTGTGATCATTCAAGATCTCATGATAATAGATGCTTTTTAAAATACCCCCATTTGTTTTACTTTAGATATTAATATTTTTTCTGTTACAGTGAGGACCTGCATTCTCTATTCATATAAGTAGCCCCATTGGTTCATGTAAGGGTCTGCTGGAACAGTTCTTTTAATCTGTTAAACTATTGCTGTGTGCTTTCACACAGTAGTTTTGGTTTTTTTTACTATGCCTGTGGCTACATTGTGACTGGTGGCTAAGAGATGAAAGATGGTGTTAAGAATATAAAATAAGAGATTATAATTCTGAAGCATATAATGTGTATGGGACGTAGTGACGTGTTTTGACTCCAGCACGTTGTTATCCTCCCTTCTCACCACAAGGTCGCACTTCTCTCTTCATTGGAGTTGAGAGCATTTTATAATAGTGTATAATGTCTTTGAGAATATGAATCTGATATTCTCCACATTCTTGACTTCAGGAAGTGAGAAGGAAGAAGGAAGCGTGGCAGCAACTGACAAACTTGGCAGTGCCTTAGGCCCAGATTGGCATGAGGGCCTACATCTTAAAGGGGCTAAAGAGGTAAGGCTGGCATCCCTAGCTATATTTGTTTAGATGCTAAATTACTTCTGACTTTCACTGATGTGAGGAGAATTGGATCTGTTGCTTTGTGATTTTACACCTTTATCTTCAGATAGAAGCTCAGATGTTTGTTTCTGCACTTCTGTGGGTTTGTAATGTAGTTTTACTAAAGATCAACAATAGCTATTTGCATACTCTAACAGTGTGTCTAGACTACAGGGTTGTTTTTTTTAAAAAAAAAAACTGGCCTTTTTTTAAAGTGGCCTTTTAAAAAAAAAAAAACTTCACCTGCATCTAGACTGCTGCCACGTTTTTTCGAAATTAAATCGAAAGAATGTGGCAGTTTTTTCCACCACGGAAAACCTCATTTTATGAGGAATGACACCTTTTTTCAAAAATGCTCTTTTGAAAAAAGGCATTATTAAACACAGCAGTGCTTTTTCGAAAGAGAGCATCCAGACTCCCTGGATGCTTTCTTTCAAAAAAGCGGCTCTCTTTTTCGAAAAAAGAGGCTGCTGTTCAGACTTTCTCTTTCAAAGAGGCTTGTAGTCTAGACATACCCTAACTTCAGCTGCTTCAAATAAAGTTTAATCACGGAAAAAGAGGATAATGAAACTCACCTAGAGATAGAGCACACAACAGTTACTTATCACTACAGATATAGATGGTTCCTTTTTTAACTTCTTGCATTAGTATACAGACAGATATCTATCCTATCTATCTTTAAAATATAAAATTCTAGAAGCCAAGAGGAGGATGGAAATTCTTGGGAGTCTTTGGCCATTGGAAAGAGGCACTTATCACACTGCCTGGTATGTGACACAGTTAAGAGTACCAATCTCAGGTCAGACAGCCAAAATAAAGACCATGTACTTCAGACTGGTGCTATATTCTTTCATAAGATTTCACTAAGTCAGTAATGGATGTGTGCTTCCAAAATACTATACTAGTTATTGTGAATTCACAGACAGTCCCCCTGAGGCCTTCTAGCCCCTCATGTACCAACCAGGCTTCTGTGATAAATGATTATTAAAACCAGACATCACATATATTAGGTTCTTCCAGCTCCGGAGAGCCAGCCACTTATCCCAGGTCAGAGTATACTTCAGATCTTATCCAAAAACGTGCTGGTCTGTCCTCCGTCCATTATTCAAAGCTTCCTTTATTAGAAATCACAGGGGGAGGGGGAGGGAGGAGGACCTAGGTTGCCTTGCCCCCCCCCTCAGAATTTCTTCACACACCCCAAGGGGGCCATGCCCCCGCAATTTGGGAACCCATGTCACAGTTGATTAATCAGCCCCGCTCAGTCAGTCAGCTCCATGCTTGGAGCCCTGAGTCTCTGACTGGGCAGGGCTGATTAATCACCTGTGAGGCTGTGCTGCAGCATAATTTAGAGGGAACACTGTTGGAGAGGTGCAGTCTGTGGACATTTGGTTGGCTGTAATCAATATAAAAAATGAGAACAGCACAAGGATTGAATCACAAAATGATTCAGAAAAACTGTGGCACCTCTCCATGACTAACATAAATGATCCCAAATGTTAGTCATAGATTGAGCTCAGAACTGGAATAAGTTGAAATGTGGCTGATCAAACACAAGAATGAAGGAAGGAACTCAACAAATCCAAATCTGTGTATGTTGTCATAAGAGATTGTCACAGATCATTTAATCAAATTAGTAGAAAAACTATGGAATTGAAATAATGAAAGACAGAAAAGTTGAATTCAGATTTATCAATTTTTTAAAAAATATGCATCTTTCTCTAGACAACTCAGTGTCAGCTGAGAATGTCTTTAGCACATTAAGAATAGTGATAGAAATGTAGCCGTGTTAGTCTGGTGTAGCTGAAACAAAATACAGGACTATGTAGCACTTTAAAGACTAACAAGATGGTTTATTAGACCTCGAGCTTTCGTGGGCCAGACCCACTTCCTCAGATCAAATAGTGGAAGAAAATAGTCACAACCATATATACCAAAAGATACAATTAAAAAAAATGAACACATATGAAAAGGACAAATCACATTGCAGAACAGAAGGAGGATGCGGGGGGGTGAGTTGAAGCAAAATGCAGGACAATGTAGCACTTTAAAGACTAACAAGATGGTTTATTAGATGATGAGCTTTCGTGGGCCAGACCCACTTCCTCAGATCAAATAGTGGAAGAAAATAGTCACAACCATATATACCAAAGGATACAATTTAAAAAAATGAACAAATATGAAAAGGACAAATCACATTGCAGAACAGAAGGGAGATGCGGGGTGGGGGAGGGGGAGGAAGGAAGGTAAGTGTCTGTGAATTGATGATATTAGAGGTAGGGAGAGTGGGATGTTTGTGAGTTAATGGTATTACAGGTGATAATTGGGGAAACTGTCTTGATAATGGGTGAGAAAGTTCAAAGACTTGTTAAGTCCCTGGTGGTAAGTGTCGAATTTTAACATGAATGACAGTTCAGAGGATTCCCTTTCAAGTGCAGATGTAAAAGGTCTTTGTAGCAGAATGCAGGTGGCTAAGTCATTTAGAGAGTGTCCTTTCTGGTTAAAGTGGCAAGAAACTGTTTTCTCTTTGTGATCTTGTCTGATATCTGTTTTGTGGGCATTAATCCTTTGGCGAAGTGTCTCCCCAGGCGCTCCTGGCGGCTTTGCTCCCGGTGCCTCTGGTCTGCTGGGGACCATCTCCAGCAGACCAGGGACACCGGGAGCAAAGGAGGCGGAAGGGCGCTGGGGTATAAGATGAAACCCTATCTTTTAATTAAAAAGATAGGGGGTCGTCTTATACACCCAGTCGCCCTATACGCCGGAAAATACGGTAGTCCTGTATTTTGTTTTAGCACATTAAGATTGTTTTGGTTAAAACTCTGATACAAAGGAAGTTAGGAGAAAACAGATAAGAATTCATACTGAAAGGCAGTAACAAAAGGGACTCAGTAAGTCAGAGTTCAACATTTGGGATGTTCTTTTTCATCTTATTAATATTCAATTGAGGGTAAAGTTTTCTAGCATGTATCATTACACATAGCATGTGTTGTTATTGCTAATTGTATATATTGTAACTGAATTTTCTCATTTAGTTTTCTCACAAGGTTCACATTGAAACACTGTGTGAAATAAAGAAAATATACCTTCAGAAAGAATTCATACAACTTCAAAAGACCTCTTTGTCTTTTCCTGAAGATAATTCAGATAACCAGAATGCACACCCAGATGAAGGTAAGTATCACACAAGAAACAATATACAGATACTAACACTCCTTGAGGAGGCAAGCATAACAGAAGTACAATATATTGGCATATTTTTGTTTTAAAGCAAATAAAATCGATGCGGGCAGCTAATCTGTTCCTGCAAATGAAGTCAATGAAGCTATGGAAACTTACAATAGGGATGTTAGATAACATTTATTTTAGTAATTGTGTAGCTTCAAAAAATATATTATCGGTCACGTGGTTACTAAAATATTTCCTGGGAGCAGGGCCAGCAGCCAGTGTGCTCCCGGTTCCTCGCCCCACTCCTGCCAAAGACTGCCCCCGGTTCCTGGCCCATGGTTCCAGCCAAAGACTGCCCCTTCCCCCAACACTACATCCCGTCACTGCTGCCTCTGTATCTGTTTAAAAATAAGTTCCCTGCACAGACTGGCTCCCATCTGCCATCCTGCACAGCTGCCTCTGATACAGAGGCAGCAGCGCTGGGCACCAGCAGCCCCTGTCCATGGGAGGGCCCAAGCAGTCAGAGGCTGCTTCGTGGGATGCCACCGGCTCTCCCGAGCATCAGCTCCCTCCTGTTCCCCTGTATCAGATGCAGCTGTGCAGGGCGGCGGAGGGGGCGGCCAAGCGTCTCTAGCTTCCCATGAATACTGGCTCCTGCCTCTCCCCTCCTTGCTGCCTCTGATACAGGGGAAAGGGGGCTTGCGTATAGTCATTTCAATTAACCGATAAACCCTGGTTTGTGGTTAATTGTTTAAACAACTATACGCTAACATCCCTAAATTACACCACCTGAAGATCTGACCTATGGGATCCAAACCATCAAATAGATATGTTAGGACTGAGCTCAGTGGAATCAAGAGGACACTGTGCTGATAATTGTGACAGTTAGATAAAGGCATATACCTATTATCACAATAAAAACAGAAAAAAAACCTTTAATTATCCTTATTTGATTGTCTCAGAGGGGTAGTCATGTTAGTTTGTAACTTTTGTTAATCTCTAAGGTGCCACAGGACTGCTCGTTCTTATTTGAATGTGTTCTCATCTGAACTGTCGAATAGTCTCTTAGGGGAAGTGGTGGAAGCCCCATCTTTTGTTCAGTTGTGATGTAGTGGTTAGGCCATACACTCTGGGCATCCACTGGTGGCAGTGTTTGCGCTGGGTATGACCCCTACTGGCCTCTGTCTGTAAGCAGGTCCTACCGGTTAAGGGAAGGGACAGAACAAAGGATGTGAGTGTTGGGGGAAGGAGCAGTCTTTGGCTGGAACCATGAAGGAGACAGACTAAGGAGGGGGCTGGGAGTTTAGCCGCCCAGGCACCCCATCCCAAGGGGTCTGAGGCATCCTGGCCCTGACTTCTATAGTCACATCACGTCTATTCTGTGTTGTCCCCTGGAGAAGCAATAAACCCTCTCTATTCTACTGGCTGGTGGAGCCTGTTCTTGCTGCTGCAGGAGTGCAGGATCGGGGGGAACCCCAACGCGCCATCATATCAGTCAGATTAGACTGGGAAAAAGCCTAAGAGAGTATGTAAGGGATAATCCTGAGATGGTAGGGGAATTTACTAAGACCACCTCCTAGTTCCAGTTTTAACTTTTGATCCTATATAGATCCTGCACCAGCACAAGCTACTCTGTCATTCCTGTATATTTTATATTGTGGTATTGCCATGTTCCATTGATTACCATTTTCCTCCCAATTTTCGTGATGCCTTTTATCAGTATATCAGATATCAGTATCATTGTTTAATATGAGGCAGTTAAGTTCGCCCATCTTAGTATTTAGAGTAGACCTCCAGCCTGAATCTAACCTAGTGTGGCAGCAAGTGAATTTGTATACAAGCACTTATAAAATGTTTCATTATCTAGTTGTCTGCCTTCAAAGGATGTCATTAAATGCAATTATTTTCCATTTGCTAGTTTCTCTTCTGTTCCTACCTGTACTTTATCAACCTCTGTCATCTCCTTTTTTACTAGTATGTAGAGTGTTCCCTTTAATAGAGCCTCCATAAGAGATTTCTCTGTCCAAACTTTATGCTCCTTCTCACCTATAATAATTTTAAAATGTTAGTACATTAATTCAGTAAAGCATTGTCTGTGTAGAATTAATAACACTTAGCATAAAGACTTTATATCTCCATAATACTTTATAAACAAAATCTAATCTACACAGTACAGTAGACACTCCCAATTCGTGGCATCGCTATTTGTGACTCCATGTATTCGCAGGGTCTCTCCTATCCTGGCTGAGGGGGCAGCAGGGGCTGGAAGTGATAGAGAGCGCACTGTGGCTCCCAGCAGCTGCAGTGAATTTCACGTAGCTCCAGGAGCCCCACAGTGACATGGCTGCCTGGAGCTGTGGTGAGTTCGGGAGCCACAGGAAGCTGACTGCTGTGCCCGGCAGCTGCTATGAGTTCCCCATGGCTCCCAGCCCCTGTGGTGAATTCCCCGCAGTACGCCCGTGAAGTGGTCGCTGTGGTGAATAGTAGTAGTCCTATTTTACAAAAAGGGAAACTGAGGCAGAATAACTCCAAACAGGAGTTAATGTCAGAACAAGAATTTGATCTTTGGTACCCTCCTAGGTTTCTAATTAAAATAAGATAAGTGATGAGCAAATTGTGAGAATTATTTTTGGCTCAAATAAAAAGGTAGATTTTCTGCAAGGAACTCTGTGTATTTCATGTGTATTTCATGTCTTATTAAAATAGTAACTTGCATTGGTTGTGTTCTCAGGTTAGAATTTTCACTTTTTCAGAGCTGTGGCCTGTTTATATGGAATTAACCAATGGGAAGATATATGGCTGTGATTTCATTGTCAGTGCAACTGGAGTTGTGCCAAATGTTAAGCCATTTCTTGATGGTAATAATGTAAGGGTTATTATTAAATATAAGTATTGACTTTCTTTTTAAATTAAATTGGTTTTAACTCCAAAAGAATTGGTAACTATTTAAGAATTTGGTAGCTATTTAAGATAAAATGTTGAAAGGTAAGGATTTTGCATGTTGAAAACAAATTTTAAAATGAGGTAGCTGCTATGAAGTGGAGTACTCTAGATATTCCTAACATAGTCAAAATGAATTTTATTAGAGTTATGGGTTCTGACAATTGGACTAAAGTAAAATCAATGCTGGAATTAAAATCTGAGAATTCCTAGCTCACAGGCGCATGTTGGGACCATGTGCTTTGGTTGAATGGAGTTGCTGAATGCAACATGTGGCATAATGGCAACTTTAAGACAAATCCCATGTAAATAAGATGGTTACTTAACCGGGATGCATATTTAGTTTGCTCTAGGTGACAATGGTGGTCTGAAAGTGGATAAACATATGCAGTCTTCAGTAGCAAATATTTATGCAGCGGGGGATATCTGCACAGCATCATGGGAACCTAGTCCAGTGTGGCAGCAGGTGAGTACATTTATATGCATTCTAATCTAAAGGCTAAATGGCACGGTATATTTGTAGATCTAATATATGTACACACGAGGTTTATTCAAGCGGTAAATCTCAGTAGAGTATGGTGATTCTGTCTGATATCAATGCACTTATAGTTTGTTTCTGAAGACCAAGTTAGTCTTTGTCTTTAGGTGGATGAGGCTAATGAGTATACAAGATATGTGAGCTGGTATGTTCATTACCCATAGCATGTCTATTAACCTTGTATTTTTTAGATGAGGCTTTGGACCCAAGCTAGGCAGATGGGATGGTATGCAGCAAAGTGCATGATAGCAGATTCTTTAGGGGAATCTATTGACATGGACTTCAGTTTTGAACTCTTTGCTCATGTTACAAAATTTTTCAATTATAAGGTAAGTAAACTAATGCTAACACAGTTAAAAAGCACTGATTAGTTGGCATTGTCATCTGCTGGTTTGGTCACAAATGATTTTTAGTTTGCTAAAATTGACGAGACTGTCTGTGTTCTGTATATAATATTCTGTTAATGTTTCATTCATTGTTTCTTTATTGATACTAACCTTGAAGGCTCAATACTGGAACTGAATAAAGAGCCTACAAACACAACTCTACAAAATGAATTTATCCTTCATCTTTGCACATACTTACCTCGCTATATCCTTATGGTACATTCTGTGGTTATAGTCACTGCAAGCTCAACATGGTGGCTGGTTAATTAAATGTTTTGCATCTCACTGGATGATTACTCCTAATCCCAAATCTTGAACTTAGCCTTATTCCAATTGTTACTACAACCTCTGTGCCAAAATGAGAGTCTTTATGTTATGAAAAAATATCTACAGAGATGAGAATTTAGATCACCATACTCATTTAATATGTGATCTAAAAGAGAGGCAAATTCAGTTTTCCACAGGTGATTAAATATCACTTATTTTGCCATCTGGTTCATAATATCCAGATTTGTAACGTCTGTGGAATCGTTCTATCAGAAATACATAGTGCAGTTCCCACTGTAGTCAAATTTCAAAGTTCTTTTTAAAGGTAAATAATTTATTACTCTTATGGATGAGGAAATTAAATCAGAGGGAAGATAGCAGACTACTCCAAGGTGATACAGTGATGTGGTGGCAGATTGAGAAAGAAAACCCAAGTCTCTTGATACCCAAGCTCTCTGCTTCAGATCATGCTGCCTCTTAGCCAGTGAGAATGTATGCACACATCTAAAAGCAGAATTTCCCATTAACATCAACCCTTTGGAACAGAGGTGGGATCAGGAGCCACTAACCCACAGAGGTTTCAGCTGGGGGCTACACAAAAGTGAGACACCAAAAAAAAAAAAAAGTTTATGTATGCACGCGCGCGCACGCACACAAATCACACAAAACCCCTTGCTGTGGTGTGATGTTTTTATTTTTTTTATTTAGAATTTTAGTGTGATGGCTGAGTTTGGGAAGTGGTTCTGGAGATTGCCCAAATGTGGCCACCCCTTCCTCCCTAGAGGCACCCCATGCAGAGAACAGGATGCCCAGGGGCTTCCCTTTCCTCCCTGCTAGGGATTCCTCCCCACCTTCTCTCTGGTCCCACATGCCTCCTTAACTATTAAAGAGGTATTGCTGGCAGCATGTGGCTGGGGCTGCCAGACTCTGGTCCCTGTTGCAGCCACCTATGCAGGGAAGGGACTGGGGGGGAGAAGCAGGCCCTGCTTTGGTCTCCCCTTCCTCCCAAAAGGTGCCCCACACAGGGAAGGGGCTGAGGGACTTCCATTCCCTCCCATTCTAGGGACAGATTTTCCCCTCCCCTTCCCTCTAGGTCCTGTACGCCACCCACCGGAAGCTGGGAAGCAGCTCCAGCCTCTTCTTCGCTGCCACCTGGCTGCTTGGTGCGGGGGAAGGGCAGCAAGAACAGAAACGCTGGAGGTGCTCCTGTTTGCACAGGGGCTCCAGCACGTGGAGCTTCCCCTTCAGCCAGGTCTCCTACATGCACCTCTCCTACGTGCAGGAGAGAAGTTGGAAGTGTCCAGCAGGCACTACAGGGGAAATTGGGGAAAGTCTTTAAAGCAATCCCTGGGACTCCCTGCAGTGTTTCATGGCCACTGGATTCCCCCAAGGGCCAGATTAAAATGTTTGACAGGCTGGATGTGGCACGCGGGCCGTAGGTTTCCCGTTCCTGCTTTAGAAGTTTATAGCATTTGCAGCCAAGAGAAGGTTCTGAACCGTTGTCTTCTTGTAATGTCTTCATTTTATCCCTTGTCTCTAGGTGGTACTTTTGGGAAAGTACAATGCTCAGGGTTTGGCTTTAGACCATGAACTAATGTTGAGATGTACCAAAGGGCAAGAATACATCAAAGTGGTGATGCAGAATGGAAGAATGATGGGAGCTGTATTGATCGGTGAAACAGACTTAGAAGAAACCTTTGAAAACTTGATTTTAAATCAGATGGATCTTTCAGCATATGGGGAAGATCTCCTAAATCCAAATGTTGACATAGAGGATTATTTTGACTAAAATAAAAACATTGCTCTCCCTGCTTCTATTTGGAGTTTTGACTTTCAGTGCTGTACTTTATATAACCATTTGGAATTTACAGAAATCAAGTAACCAGGTGTAATTGTGATTCTGGAGTGAAGATATTGTGCTGGTGTTGCCAAGAACTAGCAGACAGTTGGGTGTTGGGAGATGTGTGCTAAAATGGAGCAGCCCCCAAAAAATGTGTTTTCTGCATATCAGGGCAAAGTGTATATAAATTATATTGGGAAATATTGTTCTTTTTTTCAAAACAGGAGTTTGTCACATTTTGGTAATATAACACTTGAAAACCATGAATTGTGGCAACCAGATTGGAATTGTATGTTGTTTAACAACTACAGGCAGTCCCCGGGTTACGTACAAGATAGGGACTGTAGGTTTGTTCTTAAGTTGAATCTGTATGTAAGTCGGAACTGGCGTCCAGATTCAGCCACTGCTGAAACTGACCGCCAGTTCTGACTTACATA